ACAGGAGGACAGACAGGATGACAGGCAGGAGGACGGAGACAGGAGGATGGAGACAGGAGAAAACACGTCAGATCAACAAATGTACAGATTTAATTTTTGTCTCTGCTCCTCTGATCTAATATTTAATCACTCAAGTCCGAAAGTGTCAGGTTTTACTTAACAATGGTGGCAGGTGATCATGTAAATGTTTGTGTTTGTCTGTTAGCAAAATATCTCCCAACCCACAGGGTGGATTCTAATAAAACTGTCGGGCAGTAATCGCTGTTTGAAACGTCTACAACTAATTAACTTTTGAAGTCAACCTGATTCAAGATGGACGCCACAGCTAATAAAAAAAATGTCTCCACCCCGAACTGTTCACCGACACCGAGCTCAAACTTCATGTGGTAGTAGCTGAGAGTCGTCCTCCACACACAATCCAAGCTCTAACAGACCATCTCAGTCTTCTACTGTTTGTCTGTGGTGGGGTCGCCGTGGCAACAAGTCCAGGAGAGAAACCAAAACAAAAAACACTCTGACAGAAAAGATCCAAACGTCACGATGCTGTGACAACAGATGAGTAATGTTTCTACCGCTCTGCTTCCAGAGCGTCTGGCAGAACTTCCTGTGGGGACAGGAAGCAGCTGCTGGCAGGCGTCTCTACAGCTGCAGCTCACCTGGAGCGCCAACAGGGGGCAGTAACTTCCTGTTTAGACACAATCTGTGGCTCCTTCCTGTCCACAAACATCCTCATCATGAAGGATCACACATCTGCAGAGCTGCAGGAACAACTGAGCTCAGCTGAACCCCAGAATAAAAAACATCCACAAAAAAAAAAAAAACCACGGAAAGAGCACTTCAAAATAAAAGCCCGGCGTTCCTCAGGTTAAAGTTATTAATGCACATAACGTTATGAGGTCACTCCTTTGTTGAGGATGACTCTCAGCTACTACCACTCCAGACTTCAGATCAGTTTGTAAATCTGTTGTAGCCACTGCTTTGTTCCTTAAGTTCAGCTGACTGAGGCGGCCATTTTGAATTGGATTGGCGCCAAAGTTTAACCAGTTGTAGACGTAGATCCAGTTTATCATTTCCTGGAAGTTTCATTAATATCAGTTCAATGAGTCGTGAGATATTTTGCTAACAGACAAACAGGGTTGACTTCAACAGTTAGGGCCAAAGTTTTAAGTGCAGATCTGTAAGTGTTCAGAATGTAAGATGGAATCAGTCTCAGCTACTACCACACCAAATTTGAGCTGAATGTATGTAAAATCAGCTGAGTTGGCTAGCTGTGGCGGCCATATTGAATCCAGCTGACTCCACGAGACAATCAGTCGTAGACGTCAAACCTGTACTCACTTACTGAAAGTTTAATTAAAATTCATGAAATGATTCGTGAGATATTTTGCTAACAGACAAACACACACACAGCAGTGAGGGATCATGATTCAGTCAAACCCAGGAGGAGAACCGAACCCGGGCAATGGACCAGAACCTCAGTTTGAGTCTTCCCTGTAGCGTTTCATGGTCTGCTATGATTTCAGCAACGCTGAAGAGAAGTGGAGTTGAAGGGCGCCGACACGTCGAGCACAGGTTCCACACACGCTAATCTTCGGCTGAGGCTTTGAGCGACGCTCCTCCTGGGCCTCGGCTGCTCCTCCTGGGCCTCGGCTGCTCCTCCTGGGCCTCGGCTGCTCCTCTCTGCCTCCCACACACGACGAACGGGGCAGAGAGGAGCAGCCGAGGCCTCATTAGCCTTCATCTGTGTGAGGAGGAGGAGGGAGAGTGCACGTGCCGTGCTCTGTGAGCTGTCAGAACGAGCAGCTAAAACTGGGCGAAGGTTTTTAACTGATTCAAGCATCGTAATATATAATACTTATATTTTCATAACTGCTATGTTTTACTGATATCAGGTGAAGTAAGAGCTGGGCGACACGACAACACTTGCTATTTTCATAATTAATGAATCTTTATGAATTTTCAGCATTTTAAACAATTTCTTTACATTAAAACACGGTCGCAAAAACGAAATGAAGCAGGATTGATGTAAAACCACATTTTAAACATATTTTCACCCGTTTGTCAACTTTAGAAAAAGCTGACAGAAGAAAATAAACCGATGCATACATTTACTGTAATTTATTTTAGGTGGTGCAGCTTTTCTAATATTTATGGTAATTTATTTTAGGTGGTGCAGCTTTTCTAATATTTACGTTAATTTATTTTAGGTGGTGCAGCTTTTCTAATATTTACGGTAATTTATTTTAGGTGGTGCAGCTTTTCTAATATTTACGGTAATTTATTTTAGGTGGTGCAGGATTTCTAGTATTTACGGTAATTTACTTTAGGTGGTGCAGGATTTCTAGTATTTATGGTTATTTATTTTAGGTGGTGCAGGATTTCTAGTATTTACGTTAATTTACTTTAGGTGGTGCAGGTTTTATAGTATTTATGGTAACACCCTCGCCTGGCCCTGTTTTCTCTCTGCTCCTCTCTTCAGAGTGACTCGAGCCTCCAGCAGGTACAGACCTGAACCAACAACATGTTGAGTGAAGGAATCTAACAAAGCTGCCGCCAAAAGGCAATTTAAATGTTTATATTCTGGACTTTTGCAAAAAAAAAACCTTCAGGTGGACCTAACTAAACTGCCAAACTATTTGGAAGTCTCCTCCATTTTTGTGATATAATCTGGTGAACGTGTGCTAATCCTTCATAATCAGACGTCGTCACATCGGCCACTTCTAGAAGAATTAGGAACACCTTAAAAACACCAACCTGGGACTTCATCTGAGCAGCCTTTTCAGGGTCCACAGCCAGAACGTGCTGGTAGTGTCGGATGGTGTGCTGCCGGTCCTTGTTCTCGGCTCGGACGTATCGCCTCAGGGCCTGCAGGATCCGATGAGGCTGAAAGACACGAAGCAACACGGTGAAAATTATCATGATTTCATCTATAACGTGAAATAAATCGTCTGGAAGCTGCAGAAGAAGCTTCTTCTCTGATGAACCGAGAGACTGGAAGAAGGTCACGTTTATGTTTTTAATTAAATCAATAAAAACAAAATCACACTGGTAGTTTTAAACAATCAGGTTTTAAATCTTATGATTCTGGTCACCAGCTAATGGACCACAAGATTTTAGCTTCATACAGCTAAAATCACTTCTGAGAGTCTTCAACAAAACCAGGTGAGCTAAAAGAAGCAAAACACAAGCTAGAAGCTAAAAGAAGCAGAACACTAGCTGAGAGCTAACAGAAGCAGAACACCAGTTAAAAGCTAAAATAGCAGAACATAAGCTAAAAAGAGCAAAACACTTGCTAATAGCTCAAAGGAACAGAACTACTACAGTTAACTACTTAACACTAACAGCCACAAACCCCTAGCTAAAAGAAGAAAACATGAACTAAAAAGAGCAAAACATTAGTTAAAACCAAACAGAAGCAGAACATGAGCTAAAAGCTAAAAAGGCAGTAGAATAGCTAAAAGCTAAAAGAAGCAGAACATTGGTAAAAAGTTAAAAGTAGCAGTACACTAGCTAAAAGCTAACAGAAGTATAACCATAGCTAACAGAGGCAGAACTATAGCTAACAGCTGAAAGAACTAGAATACTAGCTAAGAGCTAAAAGAAGCTAAACATAAGCTAAAAAGAGCAAAACATTAGTAAAAAGCAAACAGAAGCAGAACACTAGCTAACAGCTGAAAGAACCAGCATACTAGCTAAGAGGTAACAGATGCAAATATGAGCTAACACAGCTAAAAGAAGCTGAACATGAGCTAAAATGAGCAAAACATTAGTTGAAAGCTAACAGAAGCAGAACACAAGCTAAAAGCTGAAAGGACGAGAATACTAGCTAAGAGCTAAAAGAAGCTAAGCATGAGCTAAAAACAAAAGCAGTACACTAGCTAAACGAGGTAGAAAACTAGCTGGCTGCTAATATAAGCTGAACCATAGCTAACAGCTAACAGAGGCAGAACCATAGCTAACAGCTGAAAGAACCAGAATACCAGCTAAGAGCTAAAAGAAGCTAAACATAAGCTAAAAAGAGCAAAACATTAGTAAAAAGCAAACAGAAGCAGAACACTAGCTAACAGCTAACAGAGGCTGAACCATAGCTAACAGCTAACAGAGGCAGAACCATAGCTAACAGCTAACAGAGGCTGAACCATAGCTAACAGCTAACAGAGGCAGAACCATAGCTAACAGCTAACAGAGGCTGAACCATAGCTAACAGCTAACAGAGGCTGAACCATAGCTAACAGCTAACAGAGGCAGAACAGTAGTTTAACACAGCAAACACTAGTTAGCTGATTGCTATAATGACTGGAGTATCACTAGTTTATAATTTTATACGACTAAAATCCTTTTTCTGGGACTCTTTAATTCAAAAAACAGCACGAGGCACAAAATCAAACTGAATAGCTTCTGACATTTTAAAAAATTCAACACTAACACCAATTCTGGAAACGGAACCAAAGCCCGAATAAAAACAAACACTTTCATCTCCAGAGGTGTTTGAAACGTGCGCAGATGTTTCATATTTTATGCACCTTTTTTAAAATAACTACAGCTGTTTGTAGCAGCGGCACCGTTCAAACTGAGCTGGCGAAAGCATCAAACAACTCAAAGATAAAAGCAGCTTAAGAAATAAATGTGACATGGATTACAGCTGCAGGTTCAGATGTTCGAGCTTTTGAAGGGTTTGGGACGTGTGTATTTCCTGGCACACCAATTCATCCTCCTGGTGATGGGATGTAAACAGGACCTGAGTGTGTTTGTTGTTTTGGTGGTTCCTGTGTGGGTTTTACCCTGGGGGGGTCAGCCTGCAGTGCAGCCAGGTAGTTCTCCAGGGCCAGGCGGCGCCGGTCGTTCAGCATGGCCTCAACCCGGGCCAGGTGGGTCTCCACCAGCTGCTGCTTCTCACTGGCTGCCTCCTCCTCCAGGGACTCCACCATGGCTTGGAAATGCTGAAAACAAACCAACACATTTAAACACAGGGTTTACCGACTGATTATCACCAGCTAACAAAAGAGAGGAAATCATGGGTTTGACTGACTGTTTGTCTGTAGTGTTAGCAAAATATCTCATGACAAGTGGACAAATTTTAATGAAATTCAGAATAAACACTAAAAGAAACACTAGCTAAAAGCTACAAGAACTGAACACTAGTTAAAAGCTACAAGAAGCTGAACACTAGCTAAAAGCTACGACAAGCAGAACACTAGCTAAATGCCACAAGAAGCAGAACACTAGCTAAAAGCTACAAGAAGCTGAACACTAGTTAAAAGCTAC